ACAGCGCTTCTGCACACAGTAGGGATGGACAGCTGGGCCAAGACACCACACAGCGCTCTCACACACTTACAATACACGGCCTTCTGCTGGCGAAGATCTGGAGGTAGCGCAGTGCCGCAGCCACCAAACACACTGTGGTGGTCAGGGCGTTCAAGGCACACAGGGCGAACAGAACCTTCTGGAAACAACAAGACCACTGATCAGAGAGCAGTGTAAAATCATACCAATAACAGCGCTGCCCAAGCTGGCAAGCTTCCAAGCAGACGATAGCTACCAGGGAGTTAAGTAGCATCTGGCTTGTGGAAAGTGCTGATGTAAATGCTGGCTAGTGTAACCCTCTGCCAGAATGGAGGTTATTACTTCATTTTAAAACCTATGTAGTTACAGCTACTTTGAAGACTAAGGGAGGAGGATCATGAGTTCAAAACCAGACTGGGCAATACAAATAGAGTAAGACTGCCTATACAAACAAACAAAACCAAAGCCAACCTAGACTGGATACAGTAAGAAACACCTGTAATCCCAGCACCCTGAAGGCTTGAGGCAGGAGGATCAGGATCTGAGTTCCAGGTCAGATGCCAATTCAAAAAAAACAAGTAACCTAAAGCACACACACACACACACACACACACACACACACACACACCGGAAGTTCCCTGTCTCACAAAGGCCTAGTGTTACATACAGGGCAGTCAGACCTTCACGTTCAAAGGGTTCACCACACAAATTCAATGAATCCCAAATGGAAAACGCTCAAAAAAGAACAAAGCTGTGCTGAACATGCGCAGATCCATTTTGTGTCATTTTTTTCTTAAATGATATAACAACTATTTGTAAAATACTTCACAGTAGGTCCTGCCTCTAACAATGGCTCAAGCATGCAGACACGTGTGTGCAGGTTATGTGCAAACCTATGCCATTTTATGGAAGGGGCTTGGGTGTGACAGAGTTCAGTCTCCTCAGGGGTACTGGTGCCAATCTCCCAGGGGCACAAAGGGACCCGTTAGAAGCGTCTGATGGCTAACTAGAAATGTTCCCTACCAGAAGAACAGTGAGAATCTTCTGTGATTGGTGCCCCACCCACCCCACCCCAGCACATCCCGGCAAGATGCAATCCACTTAATGTGAGGTCACTTCTTCTACTTTGGAGCCACAGGCAGTGATGCCCCCCTTAGGCACCCAGCTACACACAGAGGGAACCAAGGGCAGCCAGCGAGTAAACAGGACTTCTTTCCTCAAAATAGCAACAAAGGCAACACTGAAAGTTGCTGTGGCTACAGCCCCGGCTCCTTCAGGGGCTTTCCCCAGCTATGCCAGGCTTAGACCGCTCCAGATGACTCAGCTGCCAAATATGCAGAAGCCAAAGCAGGCAGGTCATTTTGTAAGTCCTGTGCTGTACAGAGCTGAGAACTCTGAAGAGTTCTCTCTCTGTGCTTCCTCCCTCCTCCTCCTCCTTGCCGAAACCAAAGATCTAAAGAGAGTCAGTGATGGTCGACTAACCAACAGCTAAGTGATCACCAGATGATTTTGCCACCCACTGCAGCCAGGCTACAGTCATCTGGCTCCATCATAAAAGCTCCTTGACCTGAATCTTTTGTGTATTTTCCCAAATTTCTTTTAGTTATTATAATTGTTGCCTATTAAACAAGAGACAAAGATCTCAAGCATCTCCTGTATTTTCTGGCTGATCTTGGTCTAGGTGTCCTAAAACGGCAGCATTCAACAAGTTCATGCAACTCCCCACAAAGGAAGAAGAATGCCAAGTCAGTGTGCAACTAGGCTTTCCTGAAAGCTACGCCTCGGATGTGCGTATAAACACACTTAGACTCTTTTCCAATTTGATTTTACAAGTTTATATTCTTTAATGCACTGAAATCTCTCCATGCTTAAGATGCAATCTGTGGCCTTCTCTCCAGTCCATTCTGGCTGTGGGTCATTAGTGAGGGGCTGCTCAAAGTTGCTTTTAGCAGTTTGACTATTAGAAAGCCATCGCTGAAAGGGAATATCTCAAAGAGCCTTCTAGCCCTACCCCCATGTCTCCCCCCCAGGTCCCCCCGGGTGTATGTCTTGGTGGTGCCCAGCATACCTTAAGCAGAAGGTGGACAGCATTGCAAGGTTGAACTGGAAAGAGTTTCAAGGCATTTTCCTTGTCTGTGCATTTGGCTGGTTGAAATTCTTCACAACAGAAGCAGATCTTGCCTTCTCCTAAGTCCACCTGAAGTAAAGATGCAGAACAAAGATTCTATTATGGGGGGGCGGGGAAGAAACCCTCTTGCTACACCATATGGCACATGTCATATAGGACATGATGTGTACGGTATCAGTCAAGATTTATTTTACTTTTAATTGAGTGTGTGTCTGTGTGTGTGTGTGTGTGTGTGAAAGAGAGAGAGAGAGAGCATAAGCACACGTGCGCGCGCACACACACACACACACACACACGCATGCACGCACGCGCACATACACACACACACACACACACACACGCACATACGCAACGTCAAACAAACAAAAAGGCCAAAAGAGGGCACTGGAGCCCTAGGAGCTGAAGTGACAAGAAGTTGTAAGCCACCCGACATGGGTGCTAGGAGATGAATTTGGGTCTTCCAGAAGGGGAAGACATGCTCTTAATGGCTGATCCATCTCTCCAGGCCAAATGTTCATTCCTTATAAATGCTACAAGGTACGCCAACATGGGGCTCTGTTTGCCACATTGCTTTGGGGACTCAGAGTTGTGAAACATCCACCATCTCAGCGCGGTGGCACGAGTGACATATCTAAGGGACAGGGAGCACAGAGTAAACGACACTTAGAGCAGGAATGTCAGACAAAATGTAGGCGTCCAATGTACAGAGTTCAAACAATTGTCTAAAATAAAAGATTGTGTGCTGAGGGTAACAAAAAAGTCACTAGCGGTTCATCTGAAATGCAAACTCAGTTGAGTAGTCTATAGCTTTACTAATCAGAGTAGTCAAGGTTAGTGTTGCCTGTCACTTTAACTCATAACTCTGTGGCCTAAGTGAATCACATGCTCGACTTTGATTTCAAGAAGGCAAAAGAATCCCAATCTATCTCAAGGGTAAGAAGCACAGGGTGAATTCTGTGAACCGTGGTCCTGGACCATGTAGAACGCCACACACACACACACACACACACACACACACACACACCCGCTCATTCTCAATGCAGGCATAGGTTTTCAGTGAAGTGAAAATCGATGAGTAACCTTGTACACTCTTAGTAAGGTGTTCTGCAAACTTTTGGCCATTTTCAAGTTATTTTTAAGCAAGCTGAGAAAATACATAACTCCTGGCTTGTATAAATAAAACCCAAAACTAGAGGCCAGAGGCAATCTTTCTTTCTTGGTCTGCAGTCTGATCTGGTGAAGTTGGCATTGCTTACCTTTTTCCTAAAATGTAAGCATTCACTAATTGGTAATTTGGCGGCTCTCAATTCACTACCTGCAAACTCCTCAGGAATCTTCAAGGACTGTACAGTCAGTCTTAACTCTTAAAGTGAGGGAGGCTATTTTTCTTACTGAACTGATGTTCTTAACCTCTAGTTGAAGTACTGAGTTTCATAGTTTGGTAAAAGTAAGAAAAAAATTTGGTTCTTCATATTGAAATTGAGTAGGAAACTAAAAGGAAAAAAAAAACCCACTGTTGGAGTATGCACCATTTGGGGGAATCAGCTAATGTAGTTTACTTTCTCTTTTGAGGTAAAATTAGTATATTATATGTAAATTAAACTGGGGGTGTGCATGTGTTTAATCCCAGCCTTTGGGCACAAAGGCAGGTAAATCTCTGCAAAGACAGTGTGGTCTACAGAGTGAGTTCCAGGACAGCCAGGACTACAAAGATAAACACTGTCTCAAAAAAACAAATGAAACAAAAAAATTAAATTAAAAAATTACATATACACAAGTAGTAAGTATATCGTTTGAGAAGTGTCAGCAGTATACTCTTGCAACCCAGAGTCTTCTCAGCACCAACTGTTACCATCATATCCAAGAGCATCCTTCATGGCCTGCAGCCTCTGGCCGCTTCCTCTCCAGGGACAACCACCCTTCATTCTTTTTGCTCCCGTAGATTAGTATGACCCCATCTAGACCTCCATGGATTCTAACATTTTTTTATGCTTCCTCATAAAACAATGTTTACATGGATGCATTATTATATCAGGTTTTTATATACATTCTGTCTCTGATACAAAGAATGACAACCAGTCACCTTGATGGGCTCTCTGATTATCTCTACAGTGCATCCCATAACTCGGTCCCTCATGTTTTGCCTACTGACACCTCAACTTCAGAAACATCCCCACACCTGAGGCCCCACACAGAGAGTCACAGGGTTATCTGTATTAGAATTTTCCCACCATTGTCTCAGTGCTGTGGAGAAGTCCCACTGTTGACATCAACATTAGTTTCTCACCCTCTAAGTGAAAAGGACCACAGCCACTCAATCAGGCTCTCTTTCTAAGCTAGGCTCCACAGATGGGGCAGCCCTCCCACCTCTCGGCATCCCTTTGTCCTCCTCCTGACTCTCATAAAGTTGTGACGCCTGAGCCAGCACCAACCACAGTACTGAGAGGTGACAAATCAATCCTCCTGCAGATGACAACTAACTTATCCTGCTTTCTCCTCATGGGAACCGAACTGATTTCCACATGACTCAGGGGGGTTTCCATTTTTGGTCCTTGGTGCAAGCCTCCAGGCCTCACCCAAAGACCCATATTCCATAGTTCCCTCGGATAGTGCTAGGAGTCACTTTACAAAGCGTCCCTTCCTCACCAGCCCATTCTTGCTGTTTAGTGAAGGGAGTCACAGGCTGGGGAGGGGGAGTTAGCAAGGCTACAGTCTCCCACCAGACAGCCAAGGACACGTCTGCTGTCTGCAAGCTTCAGGGTGAACCCAGATAGATGGCAGGATCCAGTTGAGTGCAAGCTAATCCCTTGAAACTTGAAAGTTTAATCATTACATGGTCATGAATGACAGCTACTGTTCCTATGTGCCACAAGGAAGTCCCTGAGGCTCTGTGCAAACGACAGCAAGCCAGTAAGCGACAGTGCATTTTGTGTTCCTGCTCCTGCACCACCCTTGCCAACTGAACACCCACACCTTCATTTCTGATCCCACCTCTGCTCCGTGTGGCTAAAGATCTGCTCTGATTTCTCTTCAAATGCTTTAAGTCATCTCAAAAATACCTGTAAAATGTTCCCCAATTGCAAATGCTAAACCCCACCCTTCAACCTCAAAGTCATTACCTCGTCGTCAGAGTGTTTTATCACACCAATAGAAATGCTAACAAGTACAAGTCCCTTTCACGCTAATCAGCCTCATCCCTGAAGAGACTCTGTAGCAGCTTCCTTTCTAGAACGACCGCCACTGGGCGTCTCGTATTGGATTGAACATCTATTTTCTATTTCATCTGACGACACCCGCATCATACCAACTGGTCACCTATTGCTCATCACTATCATTTGAACCAAAAGCTTTAGTGTTTGTTTTAAAATTTTCAAAGGGTGTGAGAAAGAATAACAGGTTTTGAGAGTCCCTGGGGAGCTTTCCTGATTGCGAAGGTTGTGGGTTTCACCGCAAAGCTTTGACCACAGTTTTTTCTCATAATAAGCCAGCCTTCTTGGCTTGTATCCTCATCATTTCAATAAGGTAGATTGTAATGGGGTAAAATTCCAAATAAATAAGATTTACTATAAGCCATTAAGAGTCTACCTTGCTGCTGTACTAAGTGAGACACTAATTATTAGAGGCTAGAAGCCCTTATTTATTTATTTATTTATTTATTTATTTATTTATTTATTTATTTATTTTAGGTTTAGGTGCCCAGAAATTCCACTTCGGAGTAATATACCCAAAGGAACTGACAGCAGGGCTTGGAAGAGACATTTGTGTGCCCCTGGTCACATCAGCTTTCTACACAATGGACAAAAGGAGGCAACGACCCAAGGATCCATCCGCTGATGACGGACAAAGTGCATCATAGGTACAGACAATGGAGTATTATTCAACCTTCAAAAGGAAGAGAATTCTGACACATACTATATCGTGGCTATCCCTTGAGGGCATTACCCACGAAAAGACAAAAACTGTGGGACTCTATTTATACAAACATCTTTGGAGTTTCGAATTGATGAAATTGACAATGGAGTATTGGTAGACACTACTGAACTGTACATAAACAATGGTTAAAATGGGTTGTTTTATAAGCATTTTGCCACAATTTATAAAAACTATTTGTTTGAGTTGTTTGGTTTTTGTTTTTGTTTCAGACAAGGCCTCTCTACACAGACCTGAGTTTCTTGTAACTATGCAGACCAGGTTGGCCTTGAACTCACAGAGATCTGCCTGCCTCTGCCTCCTGAATGCTGGGATTGAAGGCATGCATCACAATGTTGACTCTATAAAAATCTGTTTTGAGTCAGAAACTCTGTAAATTAATAGCTGCTTGTCCACAAGCGTGCGATCCAGAAAGCTCTGGAAATCATAGCCTCCTGTCCCAGATGCCACATACATGCTACCTAAGAGATGGTCTATGCTTCATGGTTCTCTTCCAAAATCAGAAAATCTCAAAGGCTTCACACGCTGGTCTCCAAAGCTTTCAGATAAAGGACCTTTGACCTGGGTTCTGGTGGTACCCATCTTCTGCTCTCTAGATGAGGCGGGCACATCAATTCATTCATCCGCCCCTACCTGGCATCTGCATCACACCGCTCTGGTCTGGCGCTGTACTGACCACCTGCTACTCTCTGGTCTAATGCCCAACAACTGAGGCAGACACCTAGCAGCAGGCTGCTCCTAGCTTACTTCACCCGGTTCGTGTACCTTGCCCAACAGTGAGGCCCACAGCCTGGGCTCTGCCCCAAGTGCGCTGATGCTGCAGGATGCTTACCAGGTCACACCTGGGCACGCTGGACACAAACTGGGCTCCTTGACAGCCTAGGATGAATCCTGCGAGATTTAAGAGGATGCAGACCACAGAGAGAAGCACGAAAAGGTTCACCTGCAATGAGACAGAACGGGTGCTTAGGAAAGGACACGGCTAGACATGCAGAAGGCCTCGTGTGCAGATACACATTAAATACATGCATTTATGCCAGACATTACCTTTCAGAAGGAAACTTTAAGGAAAAACCCAAAACTTTAAGAAACAAAATGAAATCATGTTTTAATTTTTTTCATATTTCTAAGTGCTGTGTGCTTTTCAGTCTTCACAATAATCCCAGGTTCCTATTTTTGTCCTCTTTGCAAATGTTTTTCCTCCTTGATCTTTTATCTGGATCTTACACTAGGCTCCAGCTATTTCCTCCTTAGGCCATTCAGATTTTGCCTGAGTTTTTCCAGTAGCTGCAGGAGGCAGATGTGGAGCCCTTGGGTCTATGGGGACCCCAGGAACAGATCAGTAACTGTAGGAGACAGATGAGAAGCCCCTGGGGTCTATAGGGACCCCAGGAAGAGTGAGAAGTTGAGTCATTAACACTCAAAAATCACAGTGTCTAAATTTAAATAAGGGGAGAGGCTCTTGCTTCAGTCCAAAACAGCTTTAGGTTCTAAAGACTGTTCAATAATCTTCCATGAACTTTTTTCCAAAGTTAAAAATAGTATCACTTCAAATAATTAAGGATTGACTAAGAAGTCAGTATTTGCTTGGTACCAATTAGAGATTAAACATGTCTTTCAACTTGAGAACTGATTACTACAAAACTGAGACCTTATCAAAAGCAAAAGCAAATATAAGACATCAGAGTCAATAATTACCAGTATTAAAGCCAGTCACCCATTTAGATAGCTGATAATGTCAGAGACGTCTGACAAATGAGTTTATATATAAACTTCAATATTCCAAAAACATCTTCCTTATTTCAAGTCAGGCCAGCAAGCTCTCCTCAGATCTGTGTTAACAGTTAATGCCACATGGTGCCACTGTCCCTGGGGGAAGCAGGCTTCCGTCTTCCTCCGCGATAGAACTTGACTTCTTTCCTTTCGCTGTTACTTTGCACAAAAGCCATTGTCAAATCTTTGGGAAATCCTGCAGGAGCTGCCCTTGTGACTGTCACAAGCTGGCATCCTCGCTGATGTGAGCAGCTTACAGCACATGCCCTTTGCACTGTATCGTTCCTGCCAGCGCTCGTGGGGAGAGGAGGATGCAGAACTGGCCAAGGGCAGAGTGCAATCTTCCCACATAGCTGCCACATAGGCAGTTGTGATGTGAAGAACCGTAACGGGCCTGCAGTCTTCAGACCCAGCCACACAACTAGTGTGATTACAGAGAAGACTTCAACCGGGCTCTGGAAATTTTCTTTTATTTCAAGATAAGGTACCTTGATAAGAAAATGTCGTTATGGCGTGTATCACCATCAGTGTAATCACTAATCTTTATTACTAGAAATTAACACCATTGCATGGAAAAATGTATGAAGACCCATCCCTCCCAACACTGGACCCCAAAACTCAACAGAATCTTAAGTTCATCAAAAGACACAATAAAATCAACAAGTATGTCACAGACTATGAGAAAATACTCTCATGAACATAAAATATTATATATATGTATGTATGTATGTATGTATACACACATATATGCATGTGGAAGCCACAGGACAATCTCAGGTGTCCTTTTTCAGGCACTACCGACCCCAGAAAGAGGAGCTTTTTCTTATGTTTCATATATTTTAATCATTCTTTCCTTTAAAATATCACCACAGGTGATTTGTTTCTTCTTTATAGAAATCTGAAATATGGGACCAGGATCCAGTGCAAATTTGCAAGAATTGCTTTTCCTACCTGTTAAATGGGTCTTTGTCCTTACCAATCTCAAGAAACTAATGATTTATACAAATTTTCCTATCTTAAAGTCCTTTGAAAAATATTACATATGAGGGCTGGAGAGATGGCTCAGAGGTTAAGAGCACTGCCTTCTCTTCCAGAGGTTCTGAGTCCAATTCCCAGCAGACACATGGTGGCTCACAAACATCTGTTATGAGATTTGGTGTCCTCTTCTGGTCTGGTGGCATACATGCAGACAGAACACTGTATACATAATAAATAAATAAATCTTAAAAAAAAGAAAAATATTACATATTAGCCGGACAGTGTTGGCACATGTCCTTAATCCCAGCACTTGGGAGGCAGAGGCAGGTAGATCTCTGTGAGTTCAAGGTCATCCAGCTCTTATAGCAAGTTCCAGACCAACCAGCCAGGGCTACAAAGAGACCCTGTCTTGAAAACAATAAATGAATAAAAAGAACAAAGGACATTCCCTCTTTGGAGGAGGAAGCTTGTTATTACAGCTTGTTATTACAGAGTGAGTTTGGCAAGAATGTCACTAGGCCCGGCACCAGCTTTTCACTCTTCTCGTCTGTGAGCTCCCCTTCCCACCCTCCCTTTCCTCTCCATCTGTGGGAACTTGCTCTGAGGTACTTTGCATTTGGCCTCTAGTGCAGTTCAGCCATGGAGAGGCCATGACAGAGAGAAGAGGGGGGAAAGCAAAGAAGGCTGTGGAACTGGCCATCCAGCTCCTTCTTTACATCTTGGGCCAGTTGTGCCCTCAAGGGAGAACCATGGGCCCTCTCCGAGGTCCTGCCCAGGATGGTGACCTTTGGATGCTGACCACAGCTCACTGCTCGGGCTGAGAGACAAGTAACAGTATGTTCCCCACAGCATGCATGGATGCTTGGAACTGTCCCTTTTTTAACCTCATGTCATACTATAATTCTGCTATCTGTTCTAAGCTGGGAGCCTGACGCAATGTCTCTTCAAACTTTGCCTGGATTTAGACCATGCTTTCTACTTTTTGAGTTCAGATCCTTGCGGTCAAATGAGTCTTCCTCTGGTCAGTGCCACAAACTGGGCCAGTGAAGTCACAGAAGCAGACTCCTTCTGAAGAAACGGAAAGTCCAGGGTGGAAAGAGAAATGTCTGTCTACAACTTTTATCTTAGATGGTGAGCTGCAGGGAGAGGTGAGATACCACCCTGAGATGTTTAAGAATAAGGTGTGCTGTAGGAAGCCACCTGGAGGCACAGGTGGTCCTGCAGTTTGGAGGTATACCTGGCTTAGCCACGTGGGGCTGAGCACCCTTGCCTGCACCCTTGCTTGCACATGCTCAGACCAGCAGAATGGCATTAACCAATCAGGACAGCGTTCAAGCCTCTCCACCGTTTAAAAGCAGCTGCCTCTGGGCTCTACTTCCTCTCTCTAAGCTTTCTCTCGTCCCTGCTTTATCTTCCCTCCCCCCAATTTTCCTCAATCAAATGCTCCGAATAAAGACGTGACCAGGGAAGGAATTCTCGTTTTTAGTGGCGTTCATTCCTGCTGGTCAGGATGCGCGTCGCAACTGGTGCCGAAACCCGGGACGCCGAGGGACCCTGAGAAGGAAGCGCCCAGCAACAGGTGCTGAAAGCCCGGGAAGAAAAAGCCGAGATCAGACACCGGACAGAGAGCCGTGAATTTCAGAACTCTGAACACGTGGAGCGGTGAATGACGTCAGTTAAATCCTCCAGAAAGGGGAGGAAAAAGAATGGAAAAAGTATAGGCCTAAAAAGAAAAGAAAATAGAAAGAATCAAAGTTAAGGTATCTGAAAGAAGGTACAGAAAGCAACGGGGAGGGAAAATCCCTTAAGTTCAGTGCAGGAGGAGTGTGAAAAAAAACAGCAGCAAAAAAAAGCGAGGTTTACGGTTGGGAGATCCGCGGCTTCCGTCCCAACCCGCTGATAAGAGACTAGGGGCAACAGTCTCGTAGGGAGGCGGGCTTGATCGTGTTCGAAGACTGCCTTCCCTGTTCTTAAAGAGCCACACAGTTTTTGAAGTGATTTTCGCCTAATTTTGTTAAGAGAGCTCAGTCTCTGGCTCTCACGTACAGAAAACTTTAATTTTGATTGAGGAAGTAGCCTGCGTGGTGGCGCACGCCTTTAATCCCAGCACTTGAGCTCTGAGCACAAACTCTGAACCGCGTTTCCATAGCAACATGGGTGGGCGGAGGAAGCTCATCGGCGGGGCCACATGCTGAGTGCTCGTCACTCCCCGGCCCCTGGGAAGGTCTGAGACTGGGGCCCCCGCGGCCCTAACCGGGCCCTCCCGCGCGCGGGCAGACCGGGCAGGAGAGGCCCCCCCACGGGTGGGCGGATGCCCCCTTCGCCGGAGCTTGGAAAAGAGTCATGGCCAGCGGTGCGAATTCAATGCCTGAGGTGAGGCAGGTGCACAGTTGGCAGGTACAGGATAAACGGCGAGCCCACGCACGGCCCGGGGCGGGGCCATGCCTTTGTATGGGCCACGCCTCAGCCGCGGCCGCCAAAAAATTCAGTCAGATAAAAACATTTGTTGCCAAAAAATTCAGTTAGATAAAAACATTTATCCCCCAAAATTCACATCGTCCCCAATTCAGCAGGAAGCAGCCAGAGAGATTAACGACGCCCAAATTCCCTAAAAGATTAAATGAGGTCCTTTCAGTGATTACAGAGCAGCAAGCCTGCTTCTCTGAGTTCCGCTTTGCTCCGTACACCGGTTTGGGCTCGGAGTGGGTGCAGCTGGGGCTGGAGGGCAGTTGGAGTGGAGCTTTGCTCTGTGGCTGTGGTGGGGGGCACGTTGCGCCGGCTAAGTTGGTGCCTGGCCTGGAGGATGTCACGGCGGTGCCGGAAATGAGAACGGTGCCACAGGCAGCCGGGCCAGAGGGCTTACAGTGTACCTGGGACTGTGAGGGTCTCTGAGGCTAAAAATGGCTCTGGTTCCATTTGGCTATGCTAAAGTTTGCTGAACTGGTCGTAATTATCATAATAAAGGCATGTCAACCTGGTTACCGTATCCTAGATAACAAAGGCAGATCTATTGCCTCAAGCAACGGGTGGAATAAACAATGCTACCTAGAGGTTTTTTCATTTGAATGCGGGGCTGGAGAGATGGCTCAATGGTTAAGAGCACTGCCTGCTCTTCCAAAGGTCATGAATTCAATTCCCAGTGACAACTGTTTTGGTTTTAGACAATAGAGGGGGACTACCAGTGACAGCTTC